TAAAAAACAAGTTTACATCATATTCTTATGCATGCCAGGGCTGTGTGTGAGGTAATTTAAGGTGGTTCTGACAAGTGTCATCGGCATCTTCATATCCGGTCACGTAGGCAGCAAGCCACTCCCATCTGGTCACATGAGCAGCAAGCCACTCCCACAAAGGAGTCCACACCCACAGAGTAGGTTCGAACAATTTTTGAAACCCACCACTGATAAGGACCTGGATTGTTGTGGGCAAGAGGCTGACTCTGTAAACTGCTTAGAGAGGGCTGTAAAAACATTGTAAAGCAGCATATAAGTCTATTGCTACCTGCCAGCAGAATTTGAGCACTGAATTATCCTAAGAAGGAATCTAAGGGATATCTTAACTGATTTTCCACATGGATAAGGAACATGGAAGCACAGATTTGGAGAAGTTATAAGAAAATAGCAAAAAAAACCAAACCAGACTTTGCATAATCCAAATCTCTCTTGCTCTGAATTGCAGCTGCCCAGGAGGTCAAAAGATTCCACAATGGTGCCCGATGGGTACATTCAACCAGCTCACGGCTCAATCTGATGTTACTTCCTGCCAGGTAAAAGGAGAGGTTGAAGGGGACCAAATCTACGTTTGTGTGTAGATGATTTAACATGTGAAGTGGGCATAATTATGTGGACTGAAAAGGCTAAATTGATTGCTTTGATTAAAAAAAAAAACCCACACAATTACCATATTTTTCAGAGTATAAGACGCAACGGAGTATAAGACGCACCAAGGTTTTGAAGAGGCAAATTAAAAAAAAAGTTTTTGCACTCTGCAAACATCCCAAAAATGATCCATTTTTTTTTTGCAAAAACTGGCCCGGTTTTTTTTCCAAAAAAAAGGGGGGGCATGAATAGCCTTTAGGAGGATTGTAGAGTGCTCGGGGGGGGGGGATGAGCAAAAAATGACCTGTTTTTCTTTAAAATAGGCCCGTTTTTTTGTCAAAAAAAGAGGCATTCATAGCTTTTAGTGGGCTTATAGAGTGCTCGGGGGGCGGGGGCAAAATTGAGCAAAAAAGGGCCTGTCGTTGAGTTTCTGGGCCTCCGGTGTGCATGAGCGCTCCAGTTTGGGCTCTTGGTGCTGAAATGGCTCACCATCACTGCCCTTCTCCATACGTTCATGACTAATGACTTCTCCTCAACAGCCATGTCCAGATGGTTACATCAGCTTGGAAACCAGAGCTGGTTGCAGGCCATGTCCCGGGGGCTTCTGGTGCGACCCCCAGAGAGGTTGGCAAGGAGCTTGTGTCCCTGGCCAGTATTCCCCAGAGGGAGAGATGGACTGTCAGGAATGCCCGAAAGGATATGTCTGTCCTAATGGACGAGAGAAAGAGGTATGGTTAATTATTAACTCATTCATTTTCATCTCATCTTAATTATTTTCATAAATAACTAGCTGGTAACCCGGCATTGTCCAGATATTTATTTATGAGCGGGGGAGGAAATGTCTGGACCAAACGTAATTTCTAATGTTGGATTTTATCCCTTATCAGAGGAAGCCCTCTTGTGGAGTACTGTGAAGCCGTTACCATGGAAACTCCACTGCACTGCACAGTAGAAACCATTTTAAGGCACAACAGGCTGTTCCTTAACAGAAGTCACAGTATTTTTTTTTCCAGAGACTAAGTCATCTGTGTACCAAGTTGAAATTGCTCGAGGCATTCCAGAGTTTTCTTGGAACATATATAGACACACACACACACACACACACACACACACACACACACACACAAAGAGAGAGAGATAGACAGACAGACAGACAGACAGACATTTTTATACATAAAGTTTCAGAGGGGCGAACATACCTAATACTGCTAATACTGAGGGCTCCTTGGTGCTATCTGAGCTTGCTTTTTCTTGCAGACATTTCATTACCCAACTAGGTAACATCGTCAGACCACCCCCACCCACATAGACTTGCAAGTCACCAGAATATTAACTGACAGCAAACAGCACTCCTTACTAGCACTGATAATGTTACCTAGTTGGGTCATAAAATGTCTCCAAAAAAACCCAAGCAAGTTCAGAGAGCACCGAGGACCCCTTCATTTCAACCCTGAGCTACAAATATTCCCCTTTATTGAATACCTAAGGATCCTTCCTCCTCCTATTTCTCACCAAACAACAACAATCCTGTGAGGTGGTTGGGCTGAGAGAGAATGACTGGCACACCAAGCCGGCTTTCACAACTGAAGTGAGAGTAGAACTCACCTCAGTCTCCTGGTGAATGGCCCGAAGTCACCCAGGCGACTTTCATACCTTAGCTGAGACTAGAACTCACCATCCCCCAGTTTCATTAAACATTTTAGCTCAGGGTTCCCCCCTCCCCCCTCTGTATTTTATTTTCATAATACGAATAATGAGGCATGGACAATTTACAAGGAGCTCATTTCCACTGTGAGTTTTCTTGGGAAAGGCAAAGAGGGTATCATATCATCTCGCCCTGAAAGATGACTCTGGAGAAGCAGCGCTCCGTTTGATTATATATCGGTGGAATTAAAGCAGCGTCAGAAGATATAAAGGCATCTGTAGAAACCTGGAATTGAAAGGAATAAATGGGCGGCGAGTAAAGGAAACTTGCTTGATCTATTCTATCTGCAGTAAATGTTTCAAACTCATACTGGAAATCTATCTCTGTGTTTGTGTGTGTGTGTGTGTGTGTGTGTGTGTGTGTGTGTGTGTGTGTGTGTGTGTAACCACACATATCTATATTTGTCTTTGTGTTTGCCATTCCACATTTTATGTAAGGCCCAGCCTGATTTTGAAACATTTAGAATAGAATAGAATAGAATAGAATAGAATAGAATAGAATTCTTTATTGGTCAAATGTGATTGGACACACAGGAATAGTATGAATAGAATAAAATTCTTTATTGGCCAAGGAATTGGACACACAAGGAACAGAATAGAATAGAATAGATATTGGAGAATAGAATAGAATAGAATAGAACAGAATAGAATTCTTTATTGGCCAAGTGTAATTGGACACAGAAGGAATAGAATAGAATAGAATAGAATAGAATAGAATAGAATAGAATAGAATAGATATTGGAGAATAGAATAGAATAGAATTCTTTGTTGGCCAAGTGTGATGGACACACAAGGAATAGAATAGAATAGATATTGGAGAATAGAATAGAATAGAAAAGAATAGAATTCTTTATTGCCAAGTGTGATTGGATACACAAGGAATAGAATAGAATAGAATAGATATTGGAGAATAGAATAGAATAAAATTCTTTATTGGNAATGAGGACCAGACTGTGGGGGCGATATGCTGACTCTGTAAACCGCTTAGAGAGGGCTGAAAGCCCTATGAAGCGGTATATAAGTCTAACTGCTAACTGCTAAACGGAGATCGGGAGCCTGTTTTCGCTTGGAGAGTGCTTACACCACCATAGGGCCCCCCGATATGAGTGACATCAATCTGACCACACCCACCCTGCCCCCCTCCCACGAGGTCAAACAACTGCGATGTGTCCCTCAGTGAAATCGAGTTTGACACCCCTGTTCATAGAGGATCTGCGAAGGCTTCAAAAAATGTTATGATTTAAATCCTGAGTTAAGTCTTGGTTATCCATGGCCACGGTCCCTGGCCCAAAAGGGTATTTAAAGGTAATCTGTGGTGAAGAAAAGATGGAGAACCACTGTCTTAAACCAAAAATTCTGTGGTCCAAAGCTGAAAACATAGATTAAAGGCTGTCCCTATTGGAAAATAATAATTGAAGGTCAAATTAATAGTTTGAGAGCCGTGGTGGCGCAGTGGTAAGAATGCAGTATTGCAGGCTACTTCAGCTGACTGCTAACTGAAGTTCAGTAGTTCGAATCTCACCAGGCTCAAGGTTGACTCAGCCTTCCGTCTTTCCGAAGTGGTTAAAATGAGGATCTAGATTGTTGGGGGTAAGAGGCTGACTCTGTAAACTGCTTAGAGAGGGCTGTAAAGCACTGTGAAGTGGTATATAAGTCCAAGTGCTATTGCAATTGCTATCTAGAGATCTATCCACCTGTTAATCTTTCAAGGAGCATTTTTATAGAGATAGCCATGTTGAGAAAATGAGCTTATTTGGAGCCTGACAGGAGGTGGCTCTCTTCTTCTCTGCAGCCTTGGATTCTTCCCTCCTGAACCATGGTGGGGCAGACTGTGACCAAGAATGCCTCACCCAGTGCCCAGAAGGACATTTCTACGCCTCTGGAACTTGCCTGCCCTGTCCAGCTGGATTTTTGTAAGGAAACTTGCTTTGCTGGTGGTGGTTTGCATGGTTAGAATACTGTGCCAATCGAGGAGAACTTTTGCAGCTGAGGGTTGGGTTGTGGGGTCCATGAGGCCCTCTGAGCTGGGTTGTTGGCTTCCAGATGTTTCATGAACCAGCTAGGTAACATCAACCTTCGTTCGTTCGTTCGTTCGTTCGTTCGTTCCTTCCTTCCTTCCTTCCTTCCTTCCTTCCCTCTCTTCCCCTCCCTTCCCCTCTCTTCCCCTCCCTTCTCCATGCCTCTCCTCCCCTCTCCTTTTGTTCCTACCTTCCTACCACACTCCATATATCTCCTCCCCTCTCTTCCCCACACCCCCTCCCTTCTCCAAGCCTCTCCTCCCCTCTCCCCCCTCCTTC